AGAACGTTTACCAGTACTAGTTTCAGCAGATGGAAATGAAAAGTTATTGGGAGTACAGCAAATGAAGTCGGAAACGTACTTCGAGAATGGAATCTGGTGGATAAAGTATAAGCATCTGTAAATACTGGAATGAAGAATGGATGCTGCGTTTTGCTTGAGAAAAAAATGGCAGATACTTAGTTTGGTTAGTCTGCAGTCATCATGTTTTGGAAATAATTCTTAGTAAGGTTTTCAAGTTGTGCTGCTCTCCGGATATTCCAATTTTTAATCGATTTAAAATAATTTGTGTACCTATTGATCGTATCTGCTTCAAGTCCTCAGACCTAGAATCGTCGAAGAATTTTGAATTTTACAAAAACTCCACAATCCCCTTGTTGCTAGCTGCATTGAAACAAAAGTCTCAACGTTATGACGACTACTTGGAACTGATCGAGTTGGCTTTGGTCGTTTTGGTGAAATCTGGATCAAGCTACTATGTCCGACCTAAGTTTTTGGAAAGATTTAGAACGCTATGAGGAGATTGGGAAAAGCGAGGTTGCTAGAAATACTCTGAAACATCATCTTTGGTACTTATCCAATGAACTCGTAATAATATTAATACCAAAAATAATAATAATAATAATCATAATATTAATATGGCCTTTCTCTACGCAATAAATTATTTCTTACTTATATTTTTTCAAGGTCGACTGTGTGTTGTAAAACTTTGAGTTGTAAATGATATAGCGGAAAGATGGGTAAAACTATTTGAAGAGCATAATCAATTATAAAAAATGAGGACGAAAAGCAAGACTTGTTACAAATCGTAGAAGCGAATCGGAAATCTGTTCCGACAGAAACCACAAAAAAAGCTGCAATTTATGCTACTAAGAGTTCTGGACCATGATTTTCATGTGGATATATTGTCTTCAGATTCATTCTATCATAGCTGTGAGCACTCCCTTCTAATTAAGCTAGAGGGTTCAAATTTTCTAAAATAACTTTTTTTACTTTATATAAAAAAATTAGAGGGTGAGAATAAGTCTATTTACAACTTCACTTTTTTAATTCGTTTCTGGACCACCCTAGTGTACGTACACATCCGATTTTTTTAAAATTCGGCGCCATTGCGGGGCCGAATCAATTTTAAATTATAATAATGTAATTTATAATAATATATGTATAATAATTACAACCATGTCAAAAATGCCAAAAAAATTTTATACATGCTGTCGTGTTTACGTTTCTAATGTGTTACATCCCAGGCAACACAGGGTCGTAGAAATCACGTAGAATCGTCGACGAATTGGGTCGAATTTGGTCGAAGTTACATTTCAACCATTTTTCGACGTCTCAAAATTCACCAAAACACGACCAATTATTAACTTAGGTCGATGATAACCAATAAATGACGTCATTATCACGTGAACAGATGACGAAATTTTTAAGAAAATATGAAAATATAGTGATAATTAATAAGAAACAGTTGGCCCGTTTTAATGGGCCGACAAAAAGTTTTGGAATTTTTTAAAAACAAAAATTATTATTTTTATTTAATTTACGTTATTTCGACGGGGAATCAACGTGCAATATTTTATTAAAATAATGTTAAACATTATTTGGTTTTAAACTAATTAAGATAGATTAATAATTATTGATCAATGGATTTTTTAAAACAAATTCGTGATTTTTTAATTCTTTATCATTTTATCACAAAATAAGAAATTAACATGTTACTGCAGTTTACAATCACAATTTTAATTTTAGTAAAATTATTTATCTACAGTGTTACCAGATGTTTTATAATTTTCTTTTTTAAAATAGTAAAATTTAAATAATAATCGATAATTGTAACATAATTTAATCCGCCGCGTAGTTTTGCTTGTTTTTTTTATACAATTTTTGTTTTGATAATTTTATATAATTTTCTGTAAATTTGATCATTTTGTCAACCCTCTTCGATAATATTAATTTTTACACCTGGCAACCCTGTTTCTCTTTGGCCTTGGGTAAGTTGGCACTACTTACAAAGCGAGGGAACGTTTATTCCTAAAAACCAATATGGTTGATTCAAGCGTCCAACTTTTATAATCTGTGGCATTTATACATAGAACAAACCATTTATACTGATAATACTTTGTCTGTGTCAGGTAGGTCAATTTTTGTTTGTTTATTAATGTTTTAATTACTCAGTTTATTCCGTAATGAAGTACCTACATAAGCTCCTAAAATATTGACCTGTCATCTGTCATAAAATTTAATGTGTTTGATTTTATATTAAATGTTTTGAGCAACTTAAAACATGTTTTATTAATTATTAAACCAAAAGCCCTTTATGCACTAGTAAAAATTCTTATATCCGATATTTTAATGCCAGATCCCAGGCAACACAGTGACGTGAATATCACGTTTAATTTACGTCTACGATGACGTCGAAGTCACCAACTTAGACACGTCTTATTGTCGTAAAATTGACGACAATATGTCACAGCGATTTCACGTGTAAAATCACGTAATATTACGTAATTATTTACGTAATTTGACGTGAATAATCACGTAATATTTCTTGAATAATATATGATTAGATCATACACATAAAAATAATTACCGATACTGATATCAGATATTTCAATGCGAAATGTGATTTTGTAAAAATTAAAAAAACAAAAAATTTTTAGTTGTACTTTTAAATTTTAAGAAATAAATAGGTAAACCCTACTATATATATATATATATATATATATATACTACTATAGTAGATATATATTTAGTAAATAATTAATAATCAAAATAAATGTATGTAAAAAAGTAGAATATCAAAAAAAAATTTGTTAGTTAATCTTTGCAGAAACACATACATATGTCTGGCATATATCTGGCATTAAAATATCGGATATAAGAATATATAATTATTTTTACCAGTGCATAAAGGGCTTTTGGATTATTAATTAATAAAACATGTTTTAAGTTGCTCAAAACATTTATTATAAAATCAAACACATTAAATTTTAAGACAGATGACAGGTCAAAATTTTAGGAGCTTATGTAGGTACTTCATTTATGTGTTATGACTTCGTTACGGAATATACTGAGTAATTAAAACATTAATAAACAAACAAAAATTGACCTACCAGACACAGCCATCAGTATAAATGGTTTGTTCTATGTAAATATAAATGCCACAGATTATAAAAGTTGGAGGCTTGAATCAACCATATTGTTTTTTAGGAATAAACGTTCCCTCGCTTTGTAAGTAGTGCCAACTTACCCAAGGCCAAAGAGAAACAGGGTTGCCAGGTGTAAAAATTAATATTATCGAAGAGGGTTGACAAAATGATCAAATTTACAGAAAATTATATAAAATTATCAAAACAAAAATTGTATAAAAACAAGCAAAACTACGCGGCGGATTAAATTATGTTACAATTATCGATTATTATTTAAATTTTAAAAAAGAAAATTATAAAACATCTGGCAACACTGTAGATAAATAATTTTACTAAAATTAAAATTGTGATTGTCAACTGCAGTAACATGTTAATTTCTTATTTTGTGATAAAATGATAAAGGATTTAAAAAATCGCGAATTTGTGTTAAAAAATCTATTGATCAATAATTATAATTATTGATCAATAGATTTTTTATAATAATAATGATTATTAATCTATCTTAATTAGTTTAAAACCAAATAATGTTTAAATTATTGCACGTTGATTCTCCGTCGAAATAACGTAAATTAAATAAAAATAATAATTTTTGTTTTTAAAAATATTCCAAAACTTTTTGTCGGCCCATTAAAACGGGCAAACTGTTTCTTATTAATTATCACTATATTTTCATATTTTCTTAAAAATTTCGTCATCTGTTCACGTGATAATGACGTCATTTATTGGTTATCATCGACCTAAGTTAATAATTGGTCGTGTTTTGGTGAATTTTGAGACGTCGAAAAATGGTTGAAATGTAACTTCGACCAAATTCGACCCAATTCGTCGACGATTCTACGTGATTTCTACGACCCTGTGTTGCCTGGGATATATGCCAGACATATGTATGTGTTTCTGCAAAGATTAACTAACAATTTTTTTTTTTTGATATTCTACTTTTTTACATACATTTATTTTGAATATTAATTATTTACTAAATATATATCTACTATAGTAGTATATATATACTATATATAGTAGGGTTTACCCGAGGGTTTACCTATTTATTTCTTAAAATTTAAAAGTACAACTAAAAATTTTTTGTTTTTTTAATTTTGACAAAATCACATTTCGCATTGAAATATCTGATATCAGTATCGGTAATTATTTTTATCAGTGTATGACCTAATCATATATTATTCAAGAAATATTACGTGATTATTCACGTCAAATTACGTAAATAATTACGTAATATTACGTGATTTTACACGTGAAATCGCTGTGACATATTGTCGTCAATTTTACGACGATAAGACGTGTCTAAGTTGGTGACTTCGACGTCACCGTAGACGTAAATTAAACGTGATATTCACGTCACTGTGTTGCCTGGGATGGCGTCGTTTATAAGTTTCAAATGTGACGTGAATAATACGTCGATGATAGGTCAAGTGACGTCACTGACGAATAGTCACGAAAAATAGACGTCAATATAACGACAGCTTGTTTGCTGGGATATCACTACAATAATGTAAAAGCACTTAGAATTAATTTCGAAATTTGATCCATTTATGAGAGAACACATAAATAAATATAATAACCCAGGTAAAAGACATATTTTTTATATGTCTTCTACTATTTCTAATAAATTTATTAGCATTATGGCCACGATGTTAAAAAAAGCATATTATAGCAGAGCTCAAAGAAACTAAATACTATTTAATTAGTGTAAACTCTACCCCCGAAGATATGTTCTAGAGGACGGAACTCAATAGCTTTATAGCTGCCGATATGGAGGATGCTGTTTTAAACATTTTAAAGAATTTGTTATTGGACATGAAATACTGTAGGGGCCAAAGCTAGGATAATGCTACCAAGATGTCTGGCAAATACTCTGGTTTGCAGGCACGAATAAGAAGACATAAGGCTTTAGCGACTAATGTACCTTGTGCAAGCACATTCATTAAATTTAGTTGGGAATTGTGCTGCCGAATGTTGCGAAAATGCAACTTTATTTTTTTCGTTTGTTGAGAAAATCTTTCTTCTCTGGTTCCACCAATAGGTGGCACGTAATGGTGGAAAATTTAAGAAAAAGATTAAGTTGTAGTAAAACGCTTACCAGAGAGAATATGGTCTGCAGAATATGGATATCAGTGTTCAAAATGCACTACAATAACTAATTAATGATCAAGGTCCGGATTTTAGGCAAAATGCCTTTTTGTTATTGTTTGGGACCTTGAAATTAATCCTAAACTTAAAAAAATAAATAATAGCCTAAAATGGCGAAATTTTGATTTATTGTCCTAAAAGGAAATTTTTATGAGCCTAAAAAAGCCTCTTTTAGTTTTTCAGAAAAAAAAATATTTTTCATTGCAATAGATGGCTAAAGCAACTTTGACAACGTATCGTGCTTTTGTTTGTATTTGTCACAGACAAATTTTGTTTGTTTGTTTGTTTGTCTGTGGTATTTGGTTATATAATAATAGGTATTTTATTTACAAAAACTATTAATATTGCCAACAATTTATTTTAGTAATCCTAGAAATGTCCAAGGCCAAAGCAGGGATAAAGGTTTTATGGTGGTTGCAGGAGCTGGACAAGAATAAAATATTTCAGCCAAATCAGTGCGATGACACCCAAATATTTTGCAAAAGCTGTGCCAAGATGTTTTAACATACCTACACAGTAAAAAAAGTTTATTCCTAGAGGTCCACTTTTTTTATTGTATTAACAAATATATTATAGCAACCTGTACTATAGTACATATGGTATACGCAGTAAAAGGTTTTCATTAATAGAAATGTAATAGTAAACGAGTTTACTTATTATTTTAAGTAAGATATTTTACTTTTATGTTTATTCATATTGGCGAAAGATTTGCTTTAAATTTTACAAGTAGGTATAAGGTTTTTATTTTCTTTATTCATACGGCAATTATTCATATGGCCCATAGAGTTTGTGTTAATATTTTTATTATATATTTTATATTAACCCTGCTGACGGGTAATATCGGATGATTGCGGATAAAAAACCAAGCTAGTTTTATGTCCATTTATATCTGTTTTCATCCGACATATCAGATTTTACCCGGCATGTCGGTTTTTATCTGCAATTGCGGGTATAAATATTCTCCACGAACATCGGGTTTTATCTATTTAGTTCTATGTCTGCTTTCATCTGATTTAATCCGCAAATACCTGTATTTGGGTTTATATCTGCATTCACCCGGTTTTATCTGATTTTATCCGCAAACATCTACTTTAGTCCGCAAAAGTCTGCTTCATCCGATTTCACCTGCAAACATCTGTCTGCTTTTATACGTGAAGATCTACTTTCATCCGCGAACATATATTTTAATCCACAAACATCTGATTTCATCCGCAAACATCTACTTTAGTCCGCAAAAGTCTGCTTCATCCGATTTCACCTGCAAACATCTGCTTATATCCGCAAAGATCTGCTTTTATCTTTGAACATCTGCCTTTAATCAACAAACATCTGTTTTTAATCCGCAAACATCTAATTTAGTCCGCAAAAGTCTGATTCATCCGATTTCACCTGCAAACATCTGCTTTTATCCGCGATGATCTGCTTTTATCTGTGAACGTCTGCTTTAATCCGCAAACTTCTGCTTTTATCCGCAAAAAATCTGCATTTATCCGCGAACCCCTCCTTTAATCCGCAAACATCTGTTTTAATCCGCAAACATCTTATTTTATCCGCAAACATCTGCTTTTATCCGCAAACATCTGTTTTAATCTCCAAACATCTGCTTTTATCCGCAAACATCTATTTTAATCTGCAAAACATCTGCTTTTATCCCCAAACATCTGCTTTTATCCGCAAACATCTGATTTTTATCCGCAAACATATGCTTTTATCCGCAAACATCTGATTTTATCCACAAACATCTGCTTTTATCGGCAAACATCTGCTTTTATCCGCAAACATCTGCTTCCCAGTAAACACCAAAACAGTCGGCCTTTGCTCGGCATAGGCGGTTGACCGGCGGTTTCGGCTTGCCCCAGCCGGCCCGCTTACGACCCCGCGTTATGTTACCCCGGTACCGTTTAGCCATGTTCTAACCGAAGTCGGTCAGAATACGGTATGCGGCTGCAAAATCCTTCGGCTTGCCCTAGCCTGCCCGCTTACGGCTGGAATACGGCCTGCCGCGGCATAAGCGATACATCTCACGGCTGCTTACGCACGCGAGCTAACTATAAATAGCGATTGGTTGCAATATTTAGTTGGAAGTCCGTAATGGCATAGCTGAACATTAATTGTTTGGTGTCCCCATCTCCATCCTCATCTGCTCAGTAACGAATAATGTCTAGCTAGTCGAGTGTGTTAAAGAAGTATCTTGCCATTCAGAAAATTTCAGGACCGAACTTATAGGATATACCTCTCCAGGACGTCTGTAGGCTTTTTTTGAATGGCCAGGCGGTTGTGGCCAGCACTCGGCCAACTATACAAAGCCGACATTCGGCCAGGCGGACATGCCCGTTTACACGCCGCAAGAAATACGTGTGTCGGGCCGCACGTGGCCGATTCGGCAAAACGTATTCGGGCCGTATGCGGGCCGGCTAGCTTGTGCTTACTGGGTTTTATCCGCAAACATATGATTTTAATCGCAAACATCTGCTTTAATTGCAAACCTCTGCTTTCATCAGCGTTCGGTTTGCCTGCATTTCCTTTGTCCATTTCGGTCCTGTTTCGTACGCAAACGTCTGGTTTCATTCGCGCTTTTTGTTTTCCTTTTTCTCGTGTATACTTTAGTTAAGTTTACCTTCTTTGTCAAATTTTACTAAGCTTTCACTAACTGGTTGTTAGCCGTTCACGGCACACAACTTTATAACTCTAAAAGGAATTATTTGAATAAAAACAACATGTAAAGGAAATAAGTTTATTGAACACGACATTTTCCCAATGGGAAAATAATTTAATTATATTCATTTAAATTTAAAAATCAGGTATACTATAGTGAAGAGTACCACAGAAATTATTAATTCTTACATATATATTAAAAATATTGGTTATGCCAAAATTAAAAAGTTTATAAAGTTACATGAAAAATTCTACGCCGAAATAAGTGTTTTTCATACAAATTGAAGATGTTATAATTCCAAATGTATTTGAAATTAATAGTACCTATATTATGTATCAAATTTGATAAACGCCATTTTATACACGAATTTAATTTAGGCACGAGCGAGCTTGCGAGCGAGTGCTTAAGTTAATAAGTGTATAGAAAAGTTTATAAACGAGGTGCATACTATACTTTTTCTACGACAAATAATTATTATTATCTTAAAATGATTTAAATCAGGGGAAACTGTCAAATGTCACATTTTTACATTTTATAAACACAATTATAAAGGTTATAAATCAAAATGTATCTTGAAAATTGACAGTTTTTCACAGTGAAAGTAAAGAAAATGTTTTATGAGGACTTTAAAGTAGAGTCCGTGCCCGAATTTAAGTTATAACTGCCGGCGAAATTAAAAGGTCAGTACAATGTTCATATAAACTTTTTAAATATTAGCGATGAGAAACTATTTAATATTTTTGTATTTTTGTATTGAAATAATAAAATGATTTTTACATTTAGTATTATTTTACAAGGAAGGCACTTTATTTTAACGATTGTTTGACATTTGACAACTGTCAACTAACTTAAAACTAACTTCAGCCTGTGACTAAAAACCTGTTGCTAACTTCAGCCCGTGACTAAAGCGCTGTAAAGCCACAACTTGTCAATGTGTATTTAAAAGGTCACTTAGTGTCATGGAAACATGTACGATAAAGGGCGTTTTAAAGGTGGGAGAAGAAAAACATATATGTTTTTTAACAATTAATTTAAATGTAAGCTTAATGATTAAAAAATGTCTATTTATATCTTTTAACAAAGACCTTATTTGTATTTTACCAAATAATATTAAAGTTCAATAAACTTATTTCCCTTAAAGGTTGTTTTTATTCAAATAATTTCTTTTAGAGTTATAAAGTTGTGTGCCGTGAACGGCTAACAACCAGTTAGTTAAAGCTTAGTAAAATTTGACAAAGCAGGTAAACTAAACTAAAGTATACACGAGAAAAAGGAAAACAAAAAGCTCGAATAAGACCAGACGTTTGCGTACGAAACAGGACCGAAATGGACAAAGGAAATGCAGGCAAACCGAACGCAGATGAAAGCAGAGGTTTGAAATTAAAAGCAGATGTTCGCGGATAAAAGCAGATATTTGCGAATAAATGCAGATGTTTGCGAATAAAATCAGATGTTTGCGATTAAAATCAGATGTTTGCGGATAAAATCAGATGTTTGCGGATAAAAGCAGATGTTTGCGGATAAAAGCAGACTTTTGCGTATAAAATCAGATGTTTGCGGATAAAAGCAGATGTTTGCCGATAAAAGCAGATGTTTGCGGATAAAATCAGATAATTGCAGATAAAAGAATGTTTGCGGGTGAAACCGTATGAAAGCATATGTTTGCGGATAAAATGAGATGTTTGCGGATAAAAGCAAATGTTTGCGGATGAAAGCAGATGTTTGGAGATAAAAGCCGATGTTCGCGGATAAAATGAGGTGTTTGCGGATAAAAGCAGATGTTCGCGGATGAAAGCAGATGTTCGCGGATGATTGCAGATGTTCGCGGATAAAATGAGATGTTCGCGGATGAAAGCAGATGTTCGCGGATAAAAGCAGATTTTTGCGTATAAAATCAGATGTTTGCGGATAAAAGCAGATGTTTGCCGATAAAAGCAGATGTTTGCGGATAAAATCAGATAATTGCAGATAAAAGAATGTTTGCGGGTGAAACCGTATGAAAGCATATGTTCGCGGATAAAATGAGATGTTAGCGGATAAAAGCAAATGTTTGCGGATGAAAGCAGATGTTTGGAGATAAAAGCCGATGTTCGCGGATAAAATGAGGTGTTTGCGG